GAGACAGGAAGGGGCATGGGAGAGAAACGCAGATTTGTTGCTCTGCTTATTTATGTATTCGTTGGTTGATTCTTGTGTGCCCTGATCTGGGGTCACACCTGCAGCCCTGAGTATCGGGATGATACTCCAACCCCCCGAGCTGCTCGGCCAGGGCAGCTGTACTCCTGAATCCTCTGTCAGTTCTGACACTCGTAGCTACATCCAGGAGCCCTGGAACACGAAAAGCGTGCATTACTTCAGCTGAGCCCCGGAGAGCCAGGCCTTGTCACCGTTTGAGCCTGCCTCACGTGTGAAGTGTCTCGGTGCAAGTGGCAGTCTCCCTTGGGCTCTCACCCTCCTGGACTTGCACTTTGTGCAAGGAGGCAGGCCCCTGTCCGCTGCCAGGATGTTTTATTCTCAGCCTTGAGCGTACACTCCACCCTGCCCGCTGAAACACACCCTGGGGGGACTCGGACACGCACACCCCACCCACGCTGGCATCGTGCACCAGGTGGTAGAGTCCCAGGCGTGGCTGCTGGTTGAGTTACAGCTTCGTCATTGTGCTTCTAGCACACCACCTCCCTTCTCCACACCTCACTGTCCTCGGGACGCCTGGGCAGGCCCCATCTAGCTTAGACGGAGACTGGGAGCTGTGAACTGGGGAGCAAGGAGAAGCGGAGGTGCCCAGCCTTGCCCTCCATAGTGAAACAGGCAGGTGGATTACTGAGAACCTCTTGGGTGCATGGCACTGACGGGTCCTCAGCCTCCTGGTCTGTGGGTCCCACTGCAGCGGTGCACTCCAGCCCCTCCGCACTCGCCGCCCTGGCTGCATTGGCCGCGCCGTCGGTGTGACTCAGGAGGTGCCGGCCTCGACCAGCCAAACCCGGGTGGCCACGTCCTGATTAATTTATTACTTCATTGTGGAAGTGTTTTGCCAAGTAATACTGTGTCGTAAGTATTAAATATGAGCACTTGATTATGTGTATCATAATCATTTTAAACACTCTGAAAAATCAGACTGATGAGACATACACGTAGTCCCAGCCAGAGCATTGACTGGAACAGTTCACTGATTTGCCTCCTTCAGATGGAACCCTTCATTTGAATTTGTCCATCACTGACATGTCATTCCTTTTTAAAAATTTTTTATTCTTGCCTGAGGACATTTTCATGTGCTTTATTTATTTTTTAAGATTCTATTTATTCATTTTTAGAGAGAGGGAAGGAGGGAGAAAGGGGGAGAAACATCTGTGTGCGAGAATTACATTTACTGATTGCCTCTTCAGTACCCCCGACTGTGCCCTGACTGGGAGTCGAACCAGCAACCTTTCAGTCCAAAGGCAGCACTCAATCCACTGAGCCACACCAGCCAGCTCCATTTGTTTTTTTTTTTTAGAGAGGAAGGGAGAGAAGCATGGATTGGTTGCCTTCGTAAGGCACCCAGACCGGGGTCCCCACCGGGACTGGGGTTTGTACGTATCCAGACCTGGGGTTGTATATGCCCAGACTGGGAGTGAACCCCCAACCTAGGCATGTGCCCTGACTGAATCGAACCTGAGACCTTTCTGGTGATGGGATGATGTTTCACCCACTGCGTCCCACTGGCCCGGGCTACACGTTACTCTTTAAGCACATGTGTACGTGTCCAGAAGCCGCGGCAGCGTTTTTTATTTTGAGAGAGGGAGGCATCCCCGCCTTTTCTGGGTTGATGTTTGTCGGTGCCTTGTTCGGGAATTCCTCCCCTGCCACCCAGGACTTATTCTCCATTTCCTCCCAGTCATGTTCTGTTTTCCCCGTACCGAGAATTCATTTCTGTCTAAGAAATAAGGCAGGAGTCTAACTTCATCTTTCCCGCCCAGACAACCAGTGACCCTGGCGGCGTACAGGGCGCCTCTTCCCCGTGGGGCGTGCGTGTGGTGCAGCGCCCTCCCCGGTGCCCCGGCCCCGGTGCCGCTCTGCTCCCCATTGGTGCTCTGCCTCTGCAGCTCTCTGCTGTCGGGAGTGACTCGCCCTGTCCTGTTCTTCTCCGACAGCTCAGCTGTTCTCGGCCCTTGGCTTTCCTCCATGAGTTTTAGGGTCACCTTTGTTCCACCCAGAAGATTCCTGTTAGAGTCTTCAGTTGTGTTGAATTTACAAATTTGGGAAGCGTTGATGTCTTTGATACTGATGTTATTCCATTTATGAATATGGTAGTTAAATTGTATTAAAACGACTAGCTTTCTCCATGAGCAGCTTACTTTTATTAGATTTTAGATACCACTTTGTTGTTATGGATTTAAAATTTTTATATGCCTTATTGGTTAATCACAGATGATCGGACCTGCTGATTCTAAGTTCTTTCCTTTTGAATGTTTAACGTTTTTTTGTCATACTGCATTGCCTAGAACCTGTCAGCCTTTGAGTAGAAGAGGTGCTCAGGGTGCTCTTGTCTTACGAAACTTTAGAAACAGCCCATCAAAGCGTCCCATTTGCTGCTGAGCTTATGGTGCGTGTTAGATTGTGAATGCATTTTCTGTCCCCGGGGAGATGGCAGCCCTGTTCCTCACCTTTGTTTTCTGATGTGTCCTTCTTGCCAAATTGGACTTGGTAGTACTTACACTATTTTAAATGTTTTCAAAAGTGGTAGTAGAGGCTAATTTTACTGTATTTTATCTTGTTATCCCAGTTGTTCTAGCCTCTAAATTACTCAGGTAGCCTTCCCTGGTTTTTGTTGTTGTTTGTTTTTATCCTCACCCGAGGACATGCTTATGGTTTCAGAGAGGGGACGGGTGGGACAGTGAGAGAGAAATTTATCGGTGCCTCTGTCATTTGTCTTGACCAGGGACTGAACCCACAACCTTTCTAAGGTTGGGGATATGCCCTGACTGAGAATTGAACCCATAACCTTTCTTAGTATGGCCATTTTTTAGAAGCTTAAAATTTTTCAAGGCTAATTTATTTTTTTGAAAAAAATATATTTTAAGGCCATAAGCTTACTCCTAATTTCTTCTTACTCTGTATCCCTGAAATTGCCTTTCAGTGCTTGACCCTTTTTGATTCCACCAGGCTGGGGTATTTACCAGCGTGACGCAAACAGCTGGGGGCATCGGGGGCCAAGGGAGAGTGCCATGTGGCTGCGTTGGAGGGAAGACAGTCACTGGGGCCTATGGACCCGGTGTACAGAAGATGTATCGATGTCACTTGTCTTTTCAGAGCAAAACCTGGAGCGGCAGGTGCTGCAGACGCAGTGCAGACGGCTGGAAGCCCAGCACCACAGCCTCAGTCTCACAGCGGAGCAGCTCTCCCACAGCGTGGCGGTGAGTCTCGGGGACACTACACATTGGAGCCGGTGAAGCTCGGCCCCTGGTGGGGTTTTCTGAAGCTGCACTGTGCTCTTTTTGGTTTAACCTTTCATGTTTGGATTTAGGGGTACCCATACAGACAAGTTTTTAGGGAGAATCCTACCCTCGAGTTTAAAACTTATAATCTTGGGGTTGGGGGCATTTCAGGGGTCAGTCGGTTCATGTAGCTAAGGAGGGAAGTGTCATTAATTTGCAGAATATTGATCCTGGAATGATGCAGATGCTATTTATATGTATCCCTTTGAGGGGATTATTTATTGCCTTTGTCAGTCTGCCTGGATGTGATTTGCTAAGGAGGAAGATTTTACTGAAGGAGTCAAGTTATTAAGGAAAACCAACCGTGCCGTGCCCTTTGCAGCCTGTCTCCTCAGGTCTTCCAGCCGAGGGCATCCTCTGTGCCGGCGTGGGGGGCTTAGATCAGGTGAAGCAGCAGTTTGTAGTTTCCAGGCTTTGTTTTTAAACTGCAGTTGAAGCTGAGACAGCAGGGGACACTGGCTGCATGAGAGCAGGTGCTGTGACAATCCAAGGCTTGGGAAGGACCAGTGCGGACTTCACCCCAGAGGCCCACTGTCAGAGCACTGGGAGGCTGGTTTCAAAGGGTCGAAGGTTCAGTCCCGACTGGTGTAGCTCAGTGGATTGGGCATAGTCCCTCAAACCAAAACATGGTCAGTTCAATGGTTCGATTCCTAGTCAGGGCACATGACTGGGTTGCAGACCAGGTCCCTGGTTGGGGACGTGTGAGAGGGAACCGATCCATGTTTCTCTCCCTCTGTTTCTCCCTCCCACCCCCTCTAAAAATAAAATCTATTACTTGTCCAAGTGGCCTCCAGCACATTCCTGTAATCACATACATTTCCATGAAACCAGTTTGTTTATGTGAGTTTCTCTCTGCAGGAGCTGAGGAGCCAGAAACAGAAGATTGTCTCGGAAAGGGAGCGACTCCAGGCGGAACTGGATCACTTACGGAAGTGCCTTGCGTTGCCTGCAATGCATTGGCCTAGGGGTTACTTTAAGGGATATCCTAGGTGACGGTTTCCCTTGCACTAGGCCGAACCTATAGTATAGAAATATTATCTATTTTATTACCTTGAATATTTAATATTTTTCACTGGGAGGTTTGAAGCTTAAAAAAATAATAAGAATGTGCCATGCATGAAGCAAAGGATTCCAGGCTCCAGAAAAAGAACGAATTCGCCTTGACTTCAATGCAACTGAATCACCTTTGAAATTCAGCAAGCAACCAATGTAGGACGATGCCCATAGTTTACTTTTTAAAGGTGGTTTTGTTCTTTCTTTCCCCGTGTCACATTTTTACATCTGAAAATGAAGGCCCCTCACTGACACTAACACGTACGTTTGCAGCCCCTGGGTGTGTGGGATCGGGGATCGACCGCTGTGCTCTCTCTCATGTTGCCGTGTTAACTTTGCCTCAAGGCCCAGGTTTGCTTTTGCTGCAGCGTGGGGGTTGGCCTCGTTCCTCCCCAGGACAGAGGCCCCCTTCAGCTGGATGAAGATGGGGTGTGTTTTAAGGAAAGGGCTTATTTGTTTCAGTTACTTTTCTGCAAAATTTTTCTTAAAAGCAACAGGTCCTAAGAGCACACAAAGCAACAGTACTAAAGCCTCACTCACAGGCTTTTCCCTGGAAAAGCTCCGACCTAAAGATAAAGCAAATCGACACACTGAAGGTACCTTTTTTATTACTCCGTGGGGGAAATGTACAGAGCTCTATGTATACATATATTCACACCCACCAAATTGTTGCTGCAGTGGGGGTGTTTTCATACAAACAAATTTTGAGAGAAAAGTCAAAGGTGCTTCAGCCTTGTACTGTGTATATATATATTAAAAAACAAAGTTTTGTATGTTTTTATTACTTTAATTATTGTTATAAAAAGCCTGCCATTTTTAATGTGGTTTGGGGGGATTTTTGTTTGTTTGTTTTCCTGTTTGGGGGTTTTGTTTGTTTTTTTGTTTTTCTGGGCAAAAAAAAAACCTTGCTTTTAGTGTCTGTACTGCTGCTGGTCAGGACATTAAATATTGAAGTGTTTTTAAAAATTAAAGAAGAAGAAAAGTAAAAGAGCTTACCACTGGCGCCTATGCGATCACTTCATTTTTGAGTTGCTCCAGAAAATGATGTGGAAAGCCATGCATTACTTCTTTACCTCCTCCTCTGCCCCCTCCCCCCAGCTCTGGACAGCAAATAGCAGTCACAGCCAGTTGCTGTTAGTGAGGAGGGGCTAGTCTACAGTGAACAAGACAGATACTGGGCGGGTGCCTGTGCACACACATGCAGCTATGGGGCTTTTGTAAAAGAACCTTTCAGGAAGTGAGCAGTTTCTGTGATAGCATTCTAAGGTGTCTTACAGCAGTCCGAGAACAGGTGCAAAGTAGAAACTTTAGAGGCTTTATTTAGATGCAAAGCTTTGTAAAAGCCTAAAAGTAGGATAAACAATGTCTGAGCTGAACTCCTCCTTTTGAGCTGACTGTGGCAAGCACAGGAGCAGATAGAACTGGGATAATCAGATCCATGCAAAGCAATGGGGAAAATTTTCCCTCTTGTCCCAGTTACTGTTCATTCAGGCAGGGTTTAATCTAGATCAAGAAAGTATCTCTTGCCTGAATGGGCTTGAACCTGAGGCCAAAGCAGCCAATGGTTGGTCTGCCTGGGGAGAGGGGAAGGGGAGGAGGCCTGAGCATGAACACGCCTCCCCTTCACCCGGGGAAGGGCTGGCTGACCTTCATGAAGGCTACTCACTGAGATCAGTGGCCACACCCTCAGCCTTTAGCTGTGCAGAACAGCTTGCTGGCAGATGGCATTGTGTCGCTTTATCTGTTCCCACACAGTTTGCTTTGTATGTCTGCCAAGAATCTTCCAGTTATTAGCAAACTCAGACAAAAAGTGCCGCCAGTATTATCAGCAGTCAACAAGCGCCTTCCTCGCCACAGAAACGACTTGACGAGAACTAAGGGCTGTTCTGTGGGCCTCCTCCCCTACAAAGGCATTGAGAGATCAACGTGTTCCACAGGTGGGGACAGGTGTTTAGAGGGAGCTCTACTGCCAGCAATCAGGGCAGAATATCACTGAATTTCTCTATTGAAAAATCTGCTTGCTGTTTCTGGGCTGAAAGCTTAAGAGCTACATCTTAGTACTTCACTCCTAGTCCTCCTCCTCCGTCACAGAAAATGTCTCGGTCCTTTTGCTGATCAGCTTTGGTAATAGCCTTGGCTAAAGTAAAAAAAGAAAAAAATAGATCTAATAACTTAACGGGAAAGAAAAGCACAGCCCCATCCCTTCAGCCAAGGGGAGCTCCCTTGGCTGGGTCTAATTGTTAGGGTAAGAGGTCGTGGCGTGTGGGACAAGGGCAGTCTCTCCCCAGGGGTGGAAGATGTGTGACTGAGCTACTCACGACTGCATTTCCTCCTTCCCATTGGAAACACCACACTCACCCTGCACTTCAGCTTCTGTCATTCCACTGCCCCAAACTCCCACCTGTCTCTGGAGATCTTAGGATAGCCTTGGGCTCAGTACGACAATCAGAACATAAACAGAAACCACAAAAGGCAGCACAAATAAACTAAAAAAGGTAAAGTGTTTTTGATACCTAAGTTTCTTTGCAGTTTAGGCTTAAATACTGACAAACTTGGTCTAGCCAATTTCACAGCCTCTGTCAGTGTTTCATGAAGACCTCAGTCCAATGTCACTTTTCGTGCTTCCTGCAGCACCTAGAGGAGGTGGCTGCCCTGTCCTCTGAGGGGTCTCACTAAACTTGTCAGGGGCATCTCCATGTCGCTCCACACTTGGTCAGATGACTGGAAGCAAACCAGAGCTTTTCCCTATACTTGGCACTACTGCACATGCGATCAGAGCCAAACTGATGATGTGAGGAAACGACATGATTCAATCCACTCTTTAAGATAAGTGACCAACATAGGATTTCCAGCAGTTTAGTCTGTATATTCTCAAGGAAATACAACACTAAATTAGCATTAACATCCTTCAAAGGAGCCCATACTCCAGCAGAATTATAACACAGGAAGCCTTAAATTTGTACATGGGATGGGTTTTTCTCAATGCTGCCAAATCTCAAAAATTACGTCAAGATACTCCCTTTCCCTGAGTCGTGGTTTTTTTAAGGATGGAAAATTCCAAGGACCCACCACAAGATGGAGATGGTCAGCACAAGCCGATTCTCTCTTAAATAAGTGTATATTAGCCATTTAGCAGCGATCCCCATACTCTCAAGTAACCAAGCTAATGACTTTCTTACTGCTTGCAGTAGCCTGTCCCCAACCTTTTGATCCAGCACTTAACTTAAACTCCTTAACTCTGCCTTGGCCTGAGGAAGACCATGCTAATTGGTTGTGTTACTGTGTCTGTGCCCTGTGCTTAATCGCTAGAACAGTGAACCAGTACACGGGAGGGAGGAGGAGCGGTGCCTCGGTCACTCTGGGGGCAGTTTAGATGCTGTGAAATTAAACCTGTTCTAAGTGTACTTGTTTGAATTAATTGTATTGTAATATTATTTGTTGAATGTAGTAATTAGGTATTTATGAATATATTGCTGTAATTTCTGACAACATCCAAAAAAATAAAATCTTCCTAAATCATGTTAAGAGGAAAATCTTTTTTATGTCATAAAATACAAGGCCAAATCTAAAAGAAAGAAAAGCTCAACAGCTATATAGCTTTATAGGCAAAATGTGAAGACCGATTCAGCCTGTAATTTGGGTTTAAGAGAAAGGTATCAAGGGGCGAGATCTGAGGTGCACAGGACCGGGACTCCTGACCCTCCACAGTAATGGGGTTTCGTTCTAGAAGATTCCCCAGATGAAATCGGAAGAATGCTGAGTTAAGAATGAGAAGAAAAGGCAATTCTGCCATCTGAGAGCAACCCAACCCTCTAAACGGTCACCTTAAATGACAGAAACAAGGTCTTCTGTGTCCTAATCCCTTCATGTCTGGCCCTTCACTGTTCAAATAACCGTCAGCTGCTTGTTGAAAGGACACCTAGCTGGGTACCAATTTGGAACGGAGAAACTGCTTGAGTAACGTAAGTTTGGACTTGCAACACCGAAGGGCAAATACCAGCAGGGACTCTGCAGGCTTAGTCAGTCATGCACGTACACTCTTCAAAAAGCCCTGGAGGTAGCATGCTACTTCTCCTGCCACAATGCTGCAGTTGAAAATCTGCAGGCTGCAGAACCTTCCACTCACTGCATGACTCCAGACCAGCGATTTTCAACCCATGCACCGCAAGAAGTTTTAAAACATGCAATACCTAACTACTCAGTCAGGGGCACTGCTTTCCCCCTTAGTCAAAATAAATTACAATGGCCGTCCACTGTGAATTAAAAAATTACATTTATTTTTTTGTCAGATTGGCAAAAAAAGTTTTTTTGGTGTGCCACAGAATTTTAGTAGTTTATATATGTCATGAGATGAAAAAGGTTAAAAATCGCTGCTCTAGACAATCATTTTCCTCTCTCATGGTAATATAATTTCTATGTGGAATTTAGTAGTTGCAAAATGGTACAACTGAATTTTTCTCAGAGTAAAAAAGAATTTACTCTTGAACCTCTGCTACTTAAGACAGAGTCTTCCCCTGAAATCCATCAACAGTGGCATTACAGACCCAACTTGGCTTCCTAGCGTCATCTTCAGCTTCACTCAAGCACTCAGTAACACGGAGTTAGTTTTTTCACTGCTTTCCCCTTTCCTGGATAAGCAGCCCTTTAAACCTTAGCCAGAAGTAGCCATGAGAACAAGAGACGAGTATTTAACGTTTACGATTGCCTGCTGCACACCTCAGTTTGGTCTATTAGATCATTTTAGCCACATGGTTTGCTCCTGCTTGGTAGTTAAGCAGGGGGAAAAACCAAGAGACTGGGTTGATTCCATCTTTATTGTGTATCTGAGCTTAAATGATCAACACCAGTCGGCATCACAAGCCACTCACCTGCCAGCCTTCCCTGTGTGAGCAATCTCTATACTCTTAATTTTAGCCCATGATATTGGTATCAAGAAAGAAAAAAGTCCTAGGGCCACATAACCACTTGAATACCTGTCTTTTCAAAACAACACCTGACATCACTGAACACGCTCCCACACAGCAGTTCCAGGCAGGAGACCTGAGACTGCTGGGGAGATCAGCTTGTTCGTCAAAGCTTTTTCTTTCCCCCATAAGAATAGCTGGCTTCTGGAGACAGATATGGAATTCAAGACTGTCCAGGACTACGTGCAACCTGTTCCTTTCCAACCAGGTTAGGAATCCAGTCCTTGCTTCATTACACGTTTTTCTTACATTCAAAAATGGCTTTAGACATCCAGAACTATGAGTACTTCTAGCATGTCCTGAGCACTCACACCCCCAGCAAGCCTCCTGCCAGCAGAGACGAGGCCTTTATAAATCAGTTCCTTCTCTAGAAGTCCTGAGACTGGGCACTCTCAGAAGGCTGCAGGTTTGTGCGGAGTTTGTACATGTGATTGAGCGCCTGTGTGAGGAAAGCCCCACTGGTGTTGATCTCCATCAAAGTCAAGTTATCCAGCTAAAACGCAAGAGAAAACAGACTGGGTTGGTTGAGAAGTTTCTGATTTTGAGAAAAAGGTAAAATCTGAACAAAAAGGAGAAACCAATAATAATGTTTAAGAGCACAGCCAGTAATTCCTGCTTGTGATAGTCCAAGCAGGCAGAGTGAGTGCTACAGGAAACCCCACGGCAGCATCCGGCCTTCCCAGGGCCCCAGGGGAGGCGGCTGCCAGAGCGAAGGCCTGCAATCCACTCACCTTGGCGTGTGCCTCCTGCTGCCTCACAAAGCTGTCCGCAGACACCCGGAGTTTGGCTATGCGAGTGTCCCACACATCTTTGATCAGGGTGCGGATCTCATCTGCTTTGGGGATGTTGTCTGAAGCACTAAAGGAAGCAAAGGTGAAATAAACTGCATAAGGAAGCACTCAATAAATTGAAGTGATATGCAGCTAGAAATGGCTTAAAAAAAAAGGTTGCTTGGATTCAGGCAAAATACACACGCTGTTCTAGACTCAAAATTTGTTTTGCTTTGTTTTCAGTATTAAATTGTAAGAATTTCTAGCAGTTAAGCTTGGTGCCAAGAAAATTCAGCCACAATCCACACATGTATTTGTGCTCCTATCACCTGTCCCCAGGCGGGCAGCCGCACGAAGACCTGTTTCCTAAAGTCATCTCCTACAATCAGGTGTCAGAGAATAAGCTCTAAGTGGGGCCTCCTGTGTCTCGGGATAACCGAGTGTTCTGTGCTGTAGTGTTCCCATCTAGAATGAATTTGTTTCAAGTCTGGCTCAGGGGCCATGAATTCTGTGGCTCACACCCCACTGGTTATCCACAGGCTTACAGCCCACCAGCAAAAGAAGACAACAGCTCTGTGCCAGGCGCTGGGCCCAGTACTACACAGCACTTCTATCTCACAAATACCCTGAAGGGTAGATAGTGACCTATCTACAGAAACAACAAAAATATGTTTACAAAAATCACAGAAGAAACTGCAAATTTGCATAATCTGAGCACACCTATACATAGTCAATTCTGGGTAAAAGTATGACTGGAGTCAGCAGGAGATACTCAGTCTTCCTATGTGGTTTTCTCAACTAATCTTTAAAGGAAAAGAAACTAGAAGACAAGCAGAAGCCAGCATTGTGCGTCACCAGGCATTCTTGGATAAGCTGGAAATGATCTCACCACGTGCAAAAGTTGGCTTGTGGTCAGTAGATGGAGAATTAGTGGTATAAAATTTTGATAGTAGATTTTACTTAAAGCCCAAAACATTTGGATCCTTTGCTCTGAACAGCAGGTTAGAGAACAAAGAGCCCCAATTCCTTGCTAATTGAACTGCAGAACAAAGGTACAATTAGGTCCCTCAGCCAAATGAATTCTAAAGAATCCCGGGACCAGGTTTTCAATAACTGCATACATAATATACCGAACTTGAAAAAAGACAGAACAGGCCCCTCACCTCTGCTTCCAGACCCTCCCCTGCAAGGTGCCTCCCCACAGCCGTAGCAGGCTTTCCAAGTACACAGGTAGCAAGCACGCTCCCTGAACACCTCCCAGGGCCGTCCCTCAATCAACGAAAAGCCCCAGCTCCCCCACTGCCACACAGTCTGCACGTACCCCGGCAGCTGTGCTTCCCAGACCTACCACGTCCTTTCACACTGCCGCCTGCTCCCCCAGTACATTTTCTGTCAATTTTCCAACCTAAGATCCCTTCTCAGGCACCACCAGGCATTCTGGCTGCACCCCGACACACTCCGAGCAGCATGTGTCGCACTGCAGTGTAACTGCTGGGTAACGGTCACATCTCTCCCCACCCAACCAGGAACTCGAGCCTATGGCAACTATCTAGTGAAACACTTAGGGGGGTGTGCACTGCCGCCTTGTGTCAACTGAAGGACAAATCCGTGATGTACCCCAAATGTCCATTTGCATCCAGAAATGCCACCAGCAGGCCCCTGGCCCTTGCTCTACAGCAGGCACTAGAAAGCTCCCCAAGTTCCGTTCTAGTTCTGGTCTTGAATCCATCAACCAAAAGGTTTCAAAAGCTTGACATTTTGCAAATTACATTCTAAGTATGTCCCAAGCAAAACTTTCAACACTTTCCTGTCCCCTCTACTGATTCCTTCCTTCATTCGTTAATTCATCCATTCATTCAACAAACATGAGCACCGGGCACTGTGCTGGTACACATAAGATACAGGCCCTGCCCATTAGAACTGGGGGCGTGTGAAGAGTAAAGCCAGGTAAGTGATTAGAAAATTGTAACTGACAAATGCTATGGAGGGGTACAGAGATGCCAAGAGGACAGGTAAGACAGGAAAGGAGTACCTGTTATACTAAACCAAAGGAGGGAGCAGGGAACAGACGGACTCACTGGTAGGGGGTACAGCATATGCAATGCCCTGAGGACCTCAGTATGTATAAAGAAGTACAAGGAGCCACTGTGAGCCTAAAATGTAAGAGAATCGCAGGGAAGAACAATAAGAGAGCTATGGGAGTTATGGGAGAAGGAAGGAGAAGACCTGCCTATTCAGGGCTTTGAGAACTGCGATCAGGACTGCAAGACGGAACCATAGAGAGGCTCTGGGGAGCGGGGGAGGCCCACGGTGGAGCTTTCTGCAAAGGCCACTCTGGCCCGCGTGCACTGTGGACGGCCGCTGGGGAGGAGCCCGCACTGGGTGCAGTGTGAGTCCTCTGGCCTTTCATGTGGCAGACCTACTAAACCCCAAACGCACACACCTCCAGAATGGAGAGGGGTAAAGCTTTATTAATGAAACATTTACAGTAAAGAAAAGGGCCACTGCCAAAAATAACGGGGAGGTAGAAGGAAAAGAACCCAGGGATTTACTGGGAGAAATGGAAAAATGAGGAAGGGAGAGAGAATGCAGGTGCGTGTATGTGTGCACACGATGACCCCAGGTCACTGATCTGAGGACACCACTTGCTTGGTAATGAGCATGGAACAAGAAGGGAAGGGCAGGGGTCGAGGGATGAGGATGGGGAGTCCGGTCTTACTTGTGGGCTCTAAGAAGTGGGGCTACTTACTGATTTAACAGCAGTTTGGTCAGTTCCATGTAGTAAGGGCTGGGCATAGGGGTAAAGGTTTCTTCCATTCGTTCATGGTCCCTAATCTTCTCCAACTTTTCTGAAATTGAGAAATGGAGACATTTTACCATAACCAAAATATTTTTTAAACCTCCCAAATTTATCAAGTGCCTATATTAACCTATTCATGCAATTAACAAATACATTAAAAGAAAATAGCTTTTGGAATATCATCTGTATTACTAACTAAATGACACAGGGCCTAGTTCCTCAAAAACTCTAAGAGGGTTTAAATGATTGTTATTGTTGCTTTGGCCTGAAGAATATATTAAAAAGAATGTCAGAAGTTCTTTTCTTAGTGAAAAAGCAAAGTATTCTACTTTTGATGCAAAAATGAGGAAAGTAGCCCTGGCTGGTGTAGCTCAGTGGATTGAGTGCGGACCTGTGAACCAAAGGATCGCAGTTCGATTCCCAGTCAGGGCACATGCCTGGGTTGCAGGCCAGTTCCCAGCAGGAGACTCACGAGAGGCAACCATACACTGATGTTTCTCTCCCTCTCTCCTTCCCTTCCCCTCTAAAGATAAATAAATAAAATCTTTTTAAAAAAATGAGGAAAGTAACCAGTGACCGGCGAAATACTTGTACTAAGCCTTTTTCAGAAGAGCAAATCAGCTTAGAATGACAGCCACTCCAGTCTGGGGTGGGACGGGAATGAGGTTGAAAGCCCAGCACCCGGAACCAAGCGGCCATGTCCAATTCCCCCAGCAGCTGCACTCCTCTCCACAGCCTGTGACCACCTCACCCCTTCCCTGACCGGCTAGCCTGAGAGAACCCCTAGTCCTGAACCTGACTGCCCTCTGTGGCTAAGAGACCCCCCTAGACACAACTGTGCCACAGGATCTCATGTTAAAGGGTGACCACCCATCTCCAGGGGGCCCTTGTATTATCCTGCAATCCTATGAAATTCCCGGTCCATTCGCCCTCTCACTTCTGCTCATACCCGCCCTCTCCATGCCTTCTCTCCCCATCTCGCCGGCCCAGCTCTCAGCCACTGCCTTGCTGATGTCCACATGCTCTCACCACCATGCCTTCCTATCCTCCCTGCATCTGTCCCCATATACAAGGGCTACTTCCAGGTATGCACTGGACACCACTCCGGCAACTGTCTCTCACTCTTGAATGGTTACGACCCCTCGCTCTATGACCATTCCTTCAAACACGCTGCAACATCTTCTATCTCATAAAGAAAACCCTCTCCTGACACCAAATCTTTCTCCAGCTACCGATCCATTTCTCGTGCCTTTCACAACAAAACTTGAGTTGTCTGATGTTGGCATTAACTTCCCCTCCTCAACCATTCAGAAGGGTGCCTATCCCACCCCTCTGCCAACACAGTTCACCTGGGGCCGCTACCTCCATGAGGCCTAACCTAAGGGCCCCATCTCAATCTCCATATCTGATGGGGGTCAATCCTCTTCCTTGGAGTGCAGTTTTCATTTAACTTCTGGAAAACCAGAGTTCTCATCTCATCAATTCCTTCTGGCCTTCCTGACCCCTCAACACTGTGCTGCAGGGCTCAGTTCCCGGGCCCTGTCCACCACCTAAATGTGAAGTCCTACCTTATTTAAACACCATTTCTGTGCCTACAATGTCCAAATTTACACCCTCAGATTAGCACCCCCCGCTGAATTCCTGACTCAAAAAAATTCCTGAGCCAAAACTGCCAGGGCTGATCTTAATGAGAAGGCTTGAGGGGAGGCAGCCCTAACAGGGCCAGGCCTGGTGGGACTGAAAAAACCCTTCAAAGCAGAAGAAACTGGAGTTTCCCATTATGTTTCTGGACTACCGAGGCCATTCACCCCTTTAGGACAGGGAATAAGGAGGAAATGCCCAAGCAGTCTTTATCTCCCCCCCATCCCTTTTGATTCTTTGAGAAAGAAACATCAATCTGTTGTTCCCTTGTTGATACGTTCATTGCTTAATTCTTGCACTCTTGTACATGCCCTGCCTGGAGATCAAACCCACGACCTTGGCGTATCAGGATAATGTTCTAACCAACTGATCTGGCCAGGGCTCCAAGCAGTCCTTCTTTCTTTTTTTAAGAGTTTGTTTGTTTGTTTATTATTTGAGAGATGGGAAGGTAGTAAGAAAGAGAGAGAAACAAACTTTGATGGGTTGCCTGTTGCACACCCCAACCGAGGACCTAGCCTAAAACCAAGGCATGTGCCCTAACTAGGAATCGAACAAGTGACCTGTCACTCTGTGGGATAACTTTCGACCCACGGAGCCACGCAGTCAGGGCCCAAGCGGTCTTTCTTAAGCTGCATTTGAGAGCACCTGCCTAAAACCGTCCCTGCTTCTAGGAGTCAGGTATTCACTGGGGAGGGGATACTCAAAATCACTCAGGGCTTTTTAAATTCTATCAATACATGCATGGCTATTACCACCATCCCCCCCAATAAATTTAAGATTATTTGCTGCAATGAGCTATTCACATCTCTGAGATGGAGAAAAGATTGCAATGGATAAAGTCTGAGTGCATCTCCAATGTAGTATTTTCCTTTTGTTTTTTTCTAACAGCTTTACTGAGGCATAATGAATGCACCACACAATTTACCCATTTAAAATATACAATTCAGGACTTCCGCCAAGATGGAGGCATAGGTGGATGTGCCGTGCCTTCTCACACAACCAAGATTAGAGAAAACTAAATATTAACAACAGAAAACACAGCCAGAACACGGAAAATTGAACTTTTCGGAAGTCCGTTAACAACAAATTCTTCAGCCTGACCGGTAAGGGGCGAAACCAGCGGCTGGCGGAGCAGGGTTGCACAGGAGGACTCGGCCAGACACACTCAGGCCCGTGAAATCCAGGCGCAGGGTCAGACCTAGTGAGCGACCCAGCGAGCAACCAGGCAAGCGACCGAGGGGGAGACAGCCGGGCCCGGGGCTGCGTGTTGACTGAGGTCGCGCATTTGTGGAGGGTGGAAGGGGGGGGCGCGGGGTGAGGTCGCGCATTTGTGCGAGGGTGGACAGGCGAGGGAGTGGGCAGTTGGACCGGGCCGGCAGGTCCCCACCGCAAGCGGCAGTGGAGGGCGCCGCCATTTCCCTGCTCTGACCCCACCTCCACATACAGCGTCATAACCCAGCGACTCTGAGTGGCCCGGCCCAGGTGAACCACCTAAGGCACTGCTCCTCCGCACCCAGCTGTGAGAAGCGGCAGAGGGGGTCGCCATTTCCCCGCTCTGGCCACGCCCCCCACATACAGCGTCACAACCCAGCGACCTGGGAATCCAAGGCGCCGCTTCTCACACTTAAAGGGCCCGAACAGACCAAGAATGGCGCAGGAGGATCTCTGAGCCCCAGAGCCAATAAATCTAAGTGATGAAGAAATAGCAAAACTCACAGACGCACAGTTTAAAACATTGGTGACCAGGATCCTCACAGAACTGGTTGATTATACGGACAAATTAGACAAATATATGAAGGCGAAACTAATTGAAATGAATGGAATTACACAGGACACCAATAGCAATGAAAAGGAAACTGGGACTCAAATCAATGGAGTGGACCAGAAGAAAGCAAATAATGGCCAAACAGAAAAGAGTCAAGAAGCAAGAATTCAAAGAAATGAGGAGAGTCTTAGGAACCTCCAGGACATCTTTAAACGCTCCAACATCCGAATTATAGGGGTACCAGAAGGGGGAAAGGCACAGCCACCAGTGGAAAACTTATTTGAACAAATAATAAAGGAGAATTTCCCCAATCTGGCAAAGGAAATAGACTTCCAGGAAATCCAGGAAGCTCAGAGAGTCCCAAAGAAGTTGGACCCAAGAAGGAACACACCAAGGCACATCGTAATTACATTAGCCAAGATTAAAATGAAGGAGAGAATCCTAGAAGCAGCAAGAGCTAAGGGGACTGTCACCTACAAAGGAGTCCCCGTCAGACTGTCAGCAGATTTCTCAAAAGAGACCTTACAGGCAAGAAGGGGCTGGAAAGAGGTATTCCAAGTCATGAAATCTAAAGACCTACAACCAAGATTGCTCTATCCAGCAAAACTTTCATTTAAAATGGAAGGACAGATAAGGTGCTTCTCAGATAAGATCAAATTCAAGGAGTTCATCATCACCAAGCCCTTATTATATGAAACGTTAAAGGGACTTATCTAAGAAAAAGAAGTTAAAGAAACATGAACAGTGAAAGGACAACAAACTCACAGTTATTAACAACCACACCTAAAACGAAAGCAAACTAAAAGGACAGCTAGATCAGGAGTAGAAACATAGAAATGAAGATCTCAAGGAGGGTTAGCAACAGGGGAGTGGGAGGAGGAGAAGGGGGGAGAAGGTACAGAAAATAAGTAGCATAGACAGTAGATAGAAAATAGATGGGGGGGCAAGAATAGTATGGGAAATATAGAATCTAAAGGACTTGAGACACATGGTCATAAACTAAAGGGGGGTGATGGTGGGGATGGGGGGTAGGGTGGAGGGGAATAAAGGGGGAATAGAACAACTGTAACAGCATAATCAATAAAAAATATATATATTAAAAATAAAAATAAAATAAAATATACAATTCAATGATTTTTAGCATATTCACAGAGTTGGGCACATTTTCATTACCCCAAAAGGGACTGCCCCACAATCCCTCCATCACTCCCAAACTCCCATACCTAGGCAAGTACTATTTACTTTGTCTCTCTGGATTTGCCTGTTCTGAACAGTATGTAAATGAATGATATGATATATGGTATTTGTATGTGTGTGTGTTTCAGTTAGCATACAGTTTTCAAGGTTCATCCACATTGTAACATTCCTGTAAAAGGCTGAAAAATATTCCCTTGCATGGACGATGCATTATTTTCATGTGTGCTGTATAATGTAAGAAAATGATTCTGATCCTCAACATGTCAATCTATATAATTATACGTTTAAATGAAAACAAATACTTCTTTAAGGTTTTATAATACTTCTAATTTTAAAGCAAAGTGGATTAGCTTTACAAGCAAAATCTGAGCTAAAATTGATCTATACACCCAAATTGACAGGACAGTGGTAATAGCAGCTGACTCTAATGAGTGAATATGGAGCCATTAATTTCAGCTGATCAGTGGATCATCCTTACCCACATCCATCCACTCCGGAGGGAGCAACCGACACTTCTGTCTTTGTTTCAGGTTAATCGCCAGCCACAGAGGCACTTGCACTGGTAAGCCAGGGTTAAAGGGACCCAGATCACCCTGCCAGAGCGGGGAGAGGGGGGGCGGTAAGACAAGACAGAGCTAAAGGCATTCCTGGACCTCGCAGCCGCAGCCGTCAAATAACAGAACTGACATCGTGTAAATAGCAGTCCAAACGCAAATACAAGCCCCAGTGGTCATGGAGGTGCGGGAGGCAGCCCACGTCTGCCCTCGCGCGGTGGAGCTGGCGGCACCTGGCAGCCCACCTGAGCCCTGCTTCCCGAGGCGCTGCGAGGACGCCCCCGAAGAACACCCGAGGGGCGTGGCCTACCTACAGGAGTCGCCCCCCCCGCCCCCGCCACCCAAACTCGCCCTAACCGGGTCTACGCAGGCCCCAAGTACGCCCCTGGCTTCCCACCCGAGACGAGGGAATGGCCAGTCGGCGTCGACAGAAACCCCCGAGGCCTGGCCTCTCCCAGACGTCAGTACCACCAGCCCGGGCCTGAGGCAAATGCCCGGCCTTTACCCCAATGAGGTAGATCTTATCCAGACTGAAGTTCGGGATAATAGTCACCAGCTCCTTCTCGGCCAGGAACTCCACCTCGGCCGCATCCATGGAGGTGCAAGTAGTCTGCCCCTGACTCGTCGCGGCCTCCGGCTCTCCTACTTCCCAGATGGGGATACGCAACTACAGCTTTCCCGCCACCGCGCGGAGTCCACCCCACAGCCGGAAAAGCCATGGGCCGGCCAATAGTAACGCGGCGCTCTCCGCGCGGCGGCCGGGAGGCGGGAAGCACAGCTGCAGTGAGCCCGCGGATTGGCTAGCTTCGCAGAGGCGGCGATCTTACCCTGCCCCCGCGGTGTCCACGCTCTGGCCCCGCCCCCTCGTTGGACGAGGCGGGGCCCAGTCTCCCCGAGTAGGCCGGCCACGCCCTCTCTCTTGTCCCGGAGCCACTTCCACCGGGTGTCTACCGCCCTTCTGTATCTGGCCGTGCTTCCGTGTCCCTTCACCTGCCCTGGGTGTCTTACCCGCCAACACCTTGCATCAACACCCCTTATTCCGGGGGCCAAGAGTAACTGCATGTATTGGGTCACAGAATTACCTAATACAGCCCGACCTCCTGAGAGTGAAGGAAGGCGTTTTTCCTTTCATTCACAATCTTCTGCCCTCTGTATACACATTGGTTAAAAATCTATGAAAACGTAGATTCCTGTACCCCACAGAACTGCTGGGAAAAGTCTCAGAATCTATATTGGCAAGGACCCCCCAGTGAGGCTTATGAAGGGGCAAATTTGCAGACTAGCAATTATGTGCTGATGTGCTCATCTGTCCGTTGAACAGCTATACTGTCCCCAGTCTCCCCGCTGTGTCCGAATCCCTTTGAAGTTTCTGAGTAAATATGCACACTCCTGGAGAATTGTGTCCTAGGGGTCTGGGATGGAAACAGAAAGCTGAATTTTAACCCAGGCCAGGGGATTCTGATGGAATGCTAATAGGCCAGCCGAGCTTCCAGGGAGATAAGGCAGCCGGTGCAGGACTGGGGGGGGGGGGGGGTCGCCGACAGGCAGTGGGCTGGACTTGAATTTGAAACCCTGTTCCTTATGCCCTGTGAAAAAGCATAGGAGACAGGATTCCTGGGTTCTCTATCCCAGCAGGAAAACTACCCCATCCCATATAACTCCATGCTTTCCCCTCTAAGGCCCCTGAACCTGCCCATTTAGGTTGTTGAGAAGATGAAATAAGACTACTGTTTGCCCAGGGCACAGAAAGCATGTCTGTTGTCTAACTGCATGGGATGTTGTCATCTGCAGACCTGCAGGCCTTCACTGTGTGTCATTTATTAAGACAAATACTTTCACAGAAAGTAAATAAAAGTCCCTCTGGATGCTGTGTGACCCAGGGCAAGTGACCTCTCTGAATCTCTTCTGTAAAAGAGGTAGGAAGAGGAACGTTTGGGGAGGAGGGGAAGAAGCTCTGGGCCACCGGCCCCTCCTGAAATAGCAGCTTCCTCAGGCATCTGCAGAGAGTACATGCCAACGTGCCTGCCTTTTGATTGATGGGAGACTGTTTTCTTCACTGGCAAATATTTGTGTTCCCAAGTTGGCGAGGCTTTCCTTCCGGCTTTTTGCAGCCTGTGAAAGAGCAAAGGAAAAGAGCTGGAGGGAACGCTGAGGTTCAGCGAGGCCACAGCAGGGTGAGGAGAGCAAGCAGAGCCCTGTATCCATGTCACCTGAGTCCTGGTGTCCTCTTGTGTAAAACAGGGGCAGTAAAATGCTGCTGCTGACCTCACTGAGATGTTGGGAGAACAGGAGATAGTGTGAGCTTCACACACTGCAAAATGGTGGTGCCTTGGAGTCTCAAACTTGAGTGTACATCACGGTCATTTGGAGGACTTATTAAATGGCTTTCCTTCATAGTAGCATGATTTACAACATCCGAAAGGTGGAAATGACCCAAATGTTCATCCTGAGGGATGGATAAACAGAATGTGGTCTGTACATACTATGGAATATTCTTTGGCCATTAACAGGAATGAGGCACTATTATCTGCTGCAATGTGGGTGAACCTTGAAAACATTCTGCAAGTGAGAGAAGCCAGCCACCACAACCATGTATGATTCCATTCGTATGAACCATCCAGAACAGGGAAATCTGCAGAAACAAAAAGGAGAGTAAACGTTGTCCAGGCCAAAGGAGAGAGAAATGGGGAGTGACTATTAAAGGGTATGGGGTTTCTCTTTAGTGTGGGTGGTGGAAATGTTCTGAAATTAGATAGTGGTGGTTGTTGTCCACTCTGTACATATTTTAAAAATCACGGAATTGTATGCTTTAATAGGGTGACTTATTTCTCAATAAAGCTGTTATTTAAAATTCTCTTCCCTGAGCTCCAGGCTCAGAAACCACACACTTAACACACTCCCCAGGAGGTTTTTGTAGTGGGGGAAAGCGAGGAGAGAAATGATTTGCCCCAATTCAGTCCAGCTCTGAGCCAGTCCCAGAATTCAGAGAAAACTTCCAAATGCTCAGCCTCATGCCTGGCCTCTCAAGGTGGGGAGAATGAGACAGTAAACAGACAAGAGGGAAACTGGAGAGGGGAGGAGGAGGGGGATGATAGAGGTGGGGGTGCTACTTGGGATGGGGTGAGCAGGCCCTCACACCATCATTTCCCATTATAAGAAATGCCTCCCCTAGCAGGCCAGAATGCCCCGTGGTAATAATTAAGAATTAGAGATAAAATTAATGTGGGTGAAGGGACAAACCCCCCATGCCAGAGAATTCCAAAGGATGTGTATAGATGCCCAGGCTTCAGGAAGGCAGAGCGGTGACACCCTACTCCTGACGTGCAGGCTGCCCCGAGTGACGTTCTTCCGAAGAAAACAGAGTAACTTGGCAGTGGAGAAACCTGGCCGATATGACCTTAGCCAGGTGAACAAGGTCAACATCGGCAGTGGTAAGCCAAGGTGACAGCATGCACCCTTGATAGCATGGATGAGAAGGGCACTTTATCTCCCAAACCTACAACCCCAGTCTAATTGTGAGAAAAGCACCAGACAGATTCCAATAGAAAAACGTTCTGCCAAACACTGGCCAGCACTCCTCAAGGCTGTCAGGGTCATCAAAATAAGGAGAGTCAAAAAACTGTCACGGCCCAGTTTTTAGCCCAGGAGGCTAAGGATTCATGACAACAGTGTCATGTGGGATCCTGGATGGGCTGGCTCCCAAACCAGGAACAAAAGGATATTAGGGGAAAACTGAGGAAATGTGAATAAAGTATGGGCTTTAACTGATAATAATGCATCAAAATTGGCTCCCCAGTTGTGACAAATGTACCAGAATAACAGAAGATTAGAGACAAGAGAACCTGGGTGGGCAGTATATGCCCAGGTAGGTGGAACCCTCTGTACCATCTTTGCAACTTTTTTGTAACTCGAAAGCTGTCCTTACTAAGAAAAAGTATATTTGAAAAAGCCTCCCCAGGCTCCCTGGGGACACCTAAAATCCCCCCAAAGCTGTGAACCTATTGCCCCCGTCGTCGTCGGGCAGTGGGATGGACGACAACTTTTGGTTACGTAGAATTTAGGCTGGCAGAACAGTGCTCCAAAATGAGTCAGCAACGGGGACTCCTGAATTAAAGGCAGTGGGTCTTTCCACAGTGATGCAAATGTCCCGTGCATTTCCAACCAGTACGGTGGCCAGAGACGAGCGGTCCAGGAGATTGACGAATTACAGCAGAGTTGAGGAGGTGGCTGAGAAGCCGCACAGACTCTCAGCCCTGCCTGTGCAACAGACTTACCTACCCTATGCTGGAGCCACACCTGGGCTGGAGGAGGCAGAAGCGCTGGTGTGGGGCTCAGGGCTGGGCGGGGGCTGAGAGCTCCGCTCTGAGAACTGGGTGTAGCCTCTCTGTCTCTGTCTCTCTCTCTCTGTCTCTCTGTCTCTCTGTCTCTCTCTCTCTCTCTCTCTCTCTCTCTCGGTCTCTGGGGGAGCTTAGGGAAAGCACTCACTTGCAGCTGGTGGTGCCTCCCATCTCAGAAGGGGGCTCAGTTACAGTGATGGCAGATTAAGGGATGCAGAATGCATAATGCCACACTTCCCTGCCTTGCCTCAGCTGGAACCTGCCTGCTCAGAGCAGGGCCCCATAACAGGACAGGATGCTTCTCTAACTAGACCCCCACCCCCACCTAGGCTCTAGGAGGCTGAGAGCCACAGTTCTTAATGTGACTTGAGCCCCTGCCCGCACCTCATCTCTAATGTGGAGGTGATAATAGGACCTCCTGCAGGACTGACCTTGGTGGCTCTGATTGGTTTGGAACACCCTGCTGCTGCCGTACCTGTTCTGAACATCATCCTCTCCTGGAGCAGCTAAGGCGCTCAGCTGTGTCCAACACGGCGGACAGTGGTTGCCGCTCTCAGCAGGAAGCGGCTCCTTTTCCTCACAGCAGTCGCACGGGGCATCATCATCTACTGAATGTGGTGAGATTTGAGGTGAGGAAGACATGCAATGGCCAGCTGCTGCTTTGCAAGCCGCCTCTGAGGATGTGGACATGACCCTGAGGGCAAAGGGAGGCCATCTGAGGGATGCGGGTAGAGGAGTGATGCACAGCTCTGCACTGCAGAAATACAACTCTGGTGGGTGGAGTCGGGGGGCGGCGGGCCATCTGGCAGCAGGAGACTCACCTGGAAGTTGTGGGCAGAAGTCCAGGTGAGTGGTGGCGATGGTCTGAAGTAGGACAGCAGGCACGGGGGCCACAAGGACAGGCTGTCTGAAACCAGAGCCCGTGGACTGCCCTCCTGTGTCCAGAAGAGCCAGGCGCAGGGATGCTGCTGGACCCCACCCAGGCAGCCACAAGTATTCCCCCATCTACCTGTGGCCCCACACAGGTTGACAGCACGCCATGCCCCTCCCTGGAGGGCCCGCGGCTTCCTCCCCACAGCTCACGGGCCTCCAGGGTTTGGCGGGGGGGCCATCACACCAGCCGCACAGCACGCGTCCCGGCTGAGCCGGGCGCTCTCAAATGGCTCCGACATGGTGCGAACACACTCTTGTGTCTTTTTGCCATCTGCTGCTGTCATTAAAAAATTACATTTCCATCTGTTTTCACACTTTTGTCCCCTCCCAGACTCCCCTCCTGGAAGCATATAGCACGAATCCTGTCTCAGATCGGACGTTGCTGGCCTCCTGGAAACTCAGAACTTCTGTGGGACACACCAGGCTTAGGGGACGTGGGCTTTGTCAGCGGCCAGGGCGGTTAATGTCCATCCATTTCCACTTCAGCGGCCTTTACTGCAGTCCCTACTCCACTGCCCACCCCCCTTTGGTGGGAGACATTTACAAAGCTTTTTTATTGTTAGTTTTAATCAGTATGTGCAGCTCTGGCATTAAAAATAAATGAAAAATAAACTACAGACATTAGTAACCCTCCCCCAGGATGTATTTAAATGGAGGATCTGACTCAGGAAATAAGATTCAAAGAGCCATGTTTTGAGTTCAAAATAAATCATCATTCTTGCCCTGGCTGGTGTGGCTCAGTGGATGGTGCACCGGCCTACAGACTGAAAAGTCACAGGTTCGATTCCCACTCAGGGCACATGCCTGGGTTGCAGACCAGGACCCGGGTTGGGGGTGTGCAAGAAGCAACCGACCCATGTATCTCTTGCATGTCAATGTTTCTCTCCCTCTCCTTCTCCTTCCCTTTCTCCTTCCCCTCTCTCTAAAAATAAATAAAATCCTTAAAAAAATAAATGAATCATCAGTCCCACAGTCCCCACTTCCACCCACACAGCACCCAGACTTTAATGAAGGGTCAGGTCCACACAGAACCCCAAACCCCACAGGTCGGTGGGCCTGACGGATCCTCTCAAGCGCAGCCTTGCAACCACTGGCGGTGTTACTGTCAACATTCTAGAGGCCCCTGTGGCAAAGCCAAGTCCAGTGTCCTGTGCAGCCTCAGGCTGGCCCTCCCTCCCGCCTGGTCTCCGTCTCCCTGTTGCCATGGGCACTAAAAGCCTGGATGAAGCGGTGATTAGCCTCAGCAGGCCGCTGAGTGGGCTGGAGGCCTGTGAGCTGTGCTGGGAGATGTGGAGCTCCCTGTCCGTGAGCAGAGCCAGCCACCAGAGTGAATGCCCAGCCCCAGCCCTGAGGCCCAGCATCTCCCTAGGTTTCAGAGGGAACAGGACTGGGGCCACAAATCATGAGCAGAAGCTGCACAGCAGGCACTTGCCTGACCTGGCTGGTGCTCCGTGCTCCTGCCCTCCTCCCTGAGAACATACATACCCTGGTCGCTGCTGGCCACAAAATGCAGGGACATGTGAAGCAGATTCAAACCCAACTGGAGCCTGACAAAGCCCAACTCCTGGCAGCCACTCAGTGGAGCCATGGCCAACCCAGAGACCAGGGAGTGAGAGGTCAATGTTCTGAGCTACTGCCCTCCAGAGGGGCTAGAGACTGCGGTCGCCACGTGGGTGGTCAGACTGTGGGCCTGACCAAGCCCCAGTGAAAACTCTGGGTATTTGCGGTGTGTGTGTGTGTGTGTGTGTGTGTGTCACCACTGCTGCTGGGAGAGTCAGCGCTGTCTGCATGTGATGCTCCCGGCTGCTCTCAAGCGTCTGGATACTCCTGGACCCCACCCTTTGGGCTTCTTCCCTTTGCTGCTTTTGTTCTGCATCCTTTGGCTATAATAAACCATAACTGAGACTACAATGGTTTTTTGTTTTTTTTTTAGTTCTGTAAGTACTTCTCATAAGTTATTGGACCCGAGTGTGGCCTTGGGGATCCCAGAACTGCACTTCTCTGTCCCCTACCCATGCATCCCAGGATCACCGCCCAGACAGACTTTTTGCTCCCAAAGCTGTGGCCCAGGTTCTGCTTCTGGGAGAACCCAACTATGACAGTGGACAAACCAAAGTCGGGAAAAGCCACACAGCCTCTGATAGAAGCCAAAGAAAATGGACAGAAACCCCTGTGCCATGATGAGAACGGTCCACAGGGAGAGGGTTCCCCAACGATTCGATGTTCTTTAAAAAAAACACAACACCGACCCGGCTGGTGTGCTCAGTGGATTGAGCACAGGCCTGCGAACTGAAAAGGTCGCCCGGTTGATTCCCCATCAGGGCACACACCTGTGCAGCAGGCCCGGCCCCCAGCTGGGGGCGTGCTAGAGGCAGCCCATCCACGTTTCTCTCGCTCTCTTACTCCCTCCCTCCTCCTCCCTCTAAAAATAGATAAATAAATTCTTTTAAAAATACAAAAAAACACTGCCTCCCATTTTTACCAGGATCCCACAGCTGGCAGGGACTAGCAGGGACAGAGCTGGGGCTCAAACAAGGTCCATGTGACTGATGAGCCAGTGGCCTCAGGCCTCAGCCATGCCCAGGCCCCCACGTGGCGGTCTGCAAGTCACAGAGCATGAGACCATCCAAAGGCTCATCGCCAGCCAGGCCTCCAAGAACAGTGATTCTCTTCAGTGCCCCCGAGTGTGCTCTACCTATTCCACCCAGACCAAGAAGCAGGGGTCACCATTCATTCCAGAGGACCTTTATTTATAATGCAAAAAAAAAAAATTATAAATCACCTTTGAACTGTTTCGATACCTGTAAAACGATTTGTAAAAAATGGAGCCACTCCTTTGCAAGAAGTTCTTGTGTGTGTTGATCTCCTGGGCACTGACTGCATGGCCCAGGGTGCTGCTGGGCATGTGTTTGTCCAGAAGAAAGCCTCCCCTGGCACCCTGATGGCCGTCACCATGGCCCTGGGGGCAGCAAACACGTGCAGGCATCAGAGGTCCGGTCCACTCAACAGGGCCAGGGAAACATCATTCTGGAAGCATGCAGGGCTGATTCTTTGCTCATCTTGCCACACTTCTCCTGGTTAAGTGCCGAAATCGCTCTCCCATCCAGCATACTCGGCACATCTGTCCCAGACGGCCACACCCCCTTGGGGATGAGTGGGATGAGGGATGGCCAGAGCAGGAGCCGCAGCCAACAAATCCCTGACCTGTGCCTCCTTCTCAGGCTTCAGGGTCTATTTCGCCATCCTCTGGACATGACCCCGTGTCTTCCAGCCAGACTAGGAGACAAAGGGAATCGACATGTAGATGAATCCCCCACCCCATCTAGGCCCCCCTTCCCAGGGAGCTCCAGGGACAGTGCCTCTGGGCTCCTTGCTCTGTACCACCTCCCTGAGAACCCTCAGTGGATGTTGAGAGGGGACCCCAGTGATGCTCGGTCTTAACGGATTCCTATGCACCCCTAATCCCACACTCAGCGCTGAGCTCATGGTGTCCCTGGCTGAGGTTCCTGGGATTGTGTTGCCCACCTGGGCTGCCCTAAGTTTAGCCTCTTAAAGCCCAGGGCCGGGCAGTTCTAAAGACAGGAATCTGAGGCTGAGAGAGTGGAGACGCGCTCCAAGTCAGCAAGTGCCTAGGAAGGGCTGGGGTTCTCTCCAGTTTCTCAGAAGCTCCAGGTTGCTAGCTAATCATCACTCAGAGCCCTCAGGCAGGGAGGAAGTGCTACCCAAGTCTGGTGGTCTTTCCTCCTGCACTAAATACGACTGGTGAGAATATCCACAACATACCACAGAAATCAGCACTTGACCTTCCTCATTTTTAATCATCTTCAACCTCTCTGAGGCACTGTTATTGTCTCCATTTTACAGATGGAGAAGCTGAGGCTTAGGGACATAGAACTTCCTATTCAAAGTCACAGGCTGGTGAGTGGCAGAGCCACGGTCCAAATTCAGGGTTTTCTGATTCCAAACCTGTGCCCTTTCTCCTGTGCTTCCCTTCTCTGAATGGGGAAAGCTCAGGGTCAGGTCTGAGCCCTGCCTCTGGATGGGACAGGAGGGGAGCCCGCACTGGTCCCTCAGCACTAAATCCATCCTTGGAACTGCTTAAGCTTAAAAGGAACCTCTCCCAGGGCCAGGAATCCCCCTGGGGGCCGGGGCCTCTAGGTTCTGACCCCACAGACCTTGTAGAGTAACACTGAGTCTCCCCTGCACTTACACAGTCCCGAGAGCAGGGCGGGTGGTTAGATCCCATTTAACAGATGGGGCACTCAGGTTCAGAGAGGGAAGGGAGTGTAATTGCAGCGCCGAGGACCCAGGCCTCCGTCGCCCATGCTGAGCTCTTGACTGGACACTGGAGCAGGGGCCCAGCTCTTTTCCCACCTTGCTGGGTGCCCTTGGGTGAGTCGTTCTCCCTCTCTGGACCTTAGCTTCCAGTCTGTAAACTAGAGATAAGAATGGTACCCACAACCCCTGGGGCTGGTATGAGAAATAAGATTTGTGAGAAGCACTTAGCCCGGTGCCTGCCACTTGGACAGGTAACATAGGAAGGTGACCCATTGTAATCCTTACTGAGCGTGGCCCAGCCTAGTAACTGCACAGGCCTGGCCCAGAGTCCAACGTCTTTCTCTATGTCACATGTCCTACGGGGCAGGCTGAGATCCCAACTCAACACATCTGCAAAAGTGTGCCTAAGTTCTTGCTGCCAGATGTCCAGGAGCCCTACATCAGCCTCATCTGCCTGTGCCGCCCGCCCGAGTCAGGCGGGACTCATGTCTCGGTCCAGTGCCGAACACTGCCAGCCACCTGGGAGGGCGTCTAGACTAGGGGTCCGCAGGGTGAGCTCCAGACCACGCAGCCTGAGTCTGAATCCCAACTCTGCCACTCATCAGCTGTATGGCAAGTGTCCCAACCTCTCTGAACCTCAGTTTACCCATCTATAAAATGGGGCTGAACACTGGACCTATTGGGGGTCAATGACTGCTGTCAGACCCATTACTTACTATTCTTACTATTCACAGTGGCAGCCTCAGAGCCCTACGCAGGCCTGGCTCGATAAATCTGTTTAATGAATTTGTCCCACCAGCTCCAACAGTGTCTACAGAGGGGCCCAGGGCCTACAGTTTCGCCTCTCCCTCTCGCCCTCTGTCTGGGAACGGTTCTGTCTTCTCCCCTCACCCTGCAGTGAGCTGCATCTGGAGGGCCCAGAGATCAGCCCCAGCCCAGCACGAGTGTATTTCCAAGCCTGTCCTGTCCAGCTGAACCTCTGCAGCCAGCAAGATGGAGCACCAGTCTCCCGGCTAGCAGGGGAAGGCGCATCCATCGATCACCTTGGTGAGCCCGCCCAGCCCCATCCATCACTTGCTTGGCCACCGGCAGGGGCTGTCTAGCTAATTACTTAACATGCCTCATCTTGCTGAGGCTGGTGCCACGGTGAGGGGCCCGTGGTGGGGATCCAACGGTAAATTTTCAATAGACCCATGGAGAGGTGGGGACATGAACTCAGACCCACAGCACAAAAGGGGACCCCTTGAGCTGCCCCCAGCCAGACACCGCCCCCACACACATCCGACCTGGCTTGGTAGTGAGTGGGGCAGGGTGGCCTCACCTGTCCTCCTGGAGTCCCTTGGCAGCATCACGCCTGTGGGGGTCGGGGGGGTGATGATGATGTTGGGCACGTCCAGGTGCTTGTTGTTCAGGACGGGGGCCTCGTCGTGGCTGCTGCTGCTGCTGACACACATTTTAAAGCCTGAGAGGGCAGGCCGCGGAACACACACGTACACACATGACAGAGAGACACGCATCAGTGGCCGCTGGGGAGCTGCCCAAGCCGGCTGGCTGCCTGTCTGCCTCCCTCCCACTGCCACTCTGCATCCAGACAACTCTCCGGCAACAGGGCACTGCTGCCCCCACCTAACTGAGGCTCAGGACGGTTAATGACCCACCCGATCCTGCACACTAGGCGAAGACTGGGAGTCCTACCTGTTTTGTTCACTGACGTGGCGTCAGTGCCCAGGGCACTGTCTGACACGTGACAGGGACTCAGAACATGACTCTGCACAGAGGGAGGCAACAGGGCCCGAGCTGCAGCCCAGCCTGTCGGGGAGGGGCGGGGGGCGGGGTAGGCTGCGCACGTAGCACCCACCCACCAACGGCTTTCTGAAGGAGGCTGGAGCACTGCGCTGCTTATTCCTTATGAGTTAGACCGAACTCACCAGGGAAACTGTCCGGGCCTGGAATTTTCTCTGTGCTGAGACTTTTGATGACACATTTGGTTTCTTTAATAGATACGAGGCTCATTCGCTTTTCTGTTTCTATCTTGTGTCAGTTTTGGTAAGGTGCCCTTTTCAGGGAATTTGCCCTCCTCTTCTCAGATGTTAAATCCCTTTTCCTTTCTGTGCTCGTGAATTGGCCAAACCCCGTCATGGACCTCCACCTAACCCGAAGCACGCTCACCGTCCACCCCGCCCAGCGCCTCCCACCACCCTTCCCATCTAGGGTCTATGGCATCAGCCTGGAGCTCGAGTGCCGGCCACGCGCCTTCCTTTCCCACTTCACCCTCAAACCCCCAGCCGGTTTCAACAGCCTGCCAGCCGCAGGTGCCACCTGGGCAATACCTCTGACGCCCCTCCTCCTTCCTCCTCTGCCCCCGAACTAGTCCCTCTGTCTCCCTCTTCAGTCTGTTGTCCAAACAGCAGCCAGAGACCGCAAATCTGATCATACCACATCCCCACCAAGGACACTCACTAGCTCTTGACAATTATCGACAAGCAACATTTCCCAAAGTGTATTATTCACTGGCCTCAGAAGCTCCCTCAAGAAGGAAGTTCCATGATCAAATGAGTTTGAGAATCCCACCGACTCTATCCTTCTCTTGGAGATTTCCATGCATGCTGGAGAGTTAAAGTCTGTGAGAAGTCCTGCGGTAGGAAGCTGCTTTACTTGTGTTTGACCTTGGGCTTCCTTAAATAACCTTAGAGTCTCTTCACATCTCACAGAGTCATAAAAGACCTTGTTGATCATAAATTAAAGTTCACCTCTTAGCTCAGGTTTCAGCCTGCACAATCTGACCTAAACTGTCTGCAGCTGTACCCCCTGCCGACTGCCCACGCTCTCCAGACCGCTCAGTTTCCCACGTACGCTGGGCTTCCCAGCCCCTTCATCCGCTGTATAGGCTGCTCCCCTGCCTTCCTCCGTTAGCGTGGTAGTGAGCTCCTTCCTGCTCATCGTTCAAAGCCCATCACAGCAGGCTCTCCTTTGGGGGAGACAACCCAGCAAACCTGATCCCTCCTCCTTTGTCATTACACTCATCTTTGTCATTACACTCTTCATTCATTAGTCCTCCAGCGCTGCACAATGTACTGAAATCATTAGTTCTTCTTCTTTTTTTTTTTGGATTTTATTTATTTATCTTTAGAGGGGAAGGGAAGGAGAGAGGGAGAGAAGCATCAATGTATGGTTGCCTCCCATGTGTCCTGCAACCCAGGCATGTGCCCTGACCGGGAATCGAACTGCGAACCTTTGGTTCGCAGGCCCGCACTCAATCCACTGAGCTATGGTGGCCAGGGCCTGAAATGATTAGTTCTTAATTCTGCCTTCCTTTGCTGTGAGCCTCCAGAGGACAGCCCTGATCTCGTTTGAGTCTAGCACAGTACCTGGGATGGAGCAAGGAGCAGTGCTTTCCATTTGAGGTGAAGAACAGCTTTGGGCACCCCTGGCCTGGATGCCGGTGTCCTTGGCTCTAGGTTTTGCACACTGTTTTTCCCAGAGCCCCAGACACTATGAGCTCCAGTGTCCGGGCCCTTGGCTAACAGCCAGAGCTGAGCAGGGGATGACTGTCCTCCCCGCTGCTCCTCCGGCCGACCCTGAGCGCCACTGGGACGCTGCTCCCGAACAGCCCCCACGGGTCCCAAGAGGCGGGGCCCAAGTCCCTGCCCTTCAGTGTGGGGTGGACTCAGGGTGAATTCTAATGAACAGAGGAGGACGGAAGGGATGGTGTGTGACTTCCAAGGGGTGGTCACAAGAGATACTACAACTTCTTCCCTGCTCTTCCTCTGGGGGAAGCCAGCTGCCATGTTTGGGGACAGGAGCGCAGCCTGAGAAGGAGCCACCCAGGAAGTGGGTCCTCGGCCCAATCAAGCCTTCGGGTAAGACTGAGGTCAGGCCAACAGCTTGACCGTTACCTCACAAGAGACTCTAAGCCAGAACCTCCCCACGAAGCCATTCCTGGATTCCCGACCCACAGAAACTGAGATAATGTTTAAGCCTCTAAACCTCAGGGGGGCTTGCTGCACAGCAACAGAGGCGTGGTGCCATCAGCACGGCCTGCCCGTCCTGGGGAGCCCCTGTGGCCCTCTGAGTCTGCTGGGCTGCTCAGTTCTGTAGGCAGAGGCCCCAGGAGACTACCAGCCCTGCAAGAGCACCCGCCCAGGCCTCTGCCAACTCGATCCAAAGCCGTGGTTTCCAAGCCTCCTTTTAAAGCAGCAGAACTGTTCTGCCTGCAGAACGTAAAATAAAAGGAAGCCACTTGGAGCAGGCCCTCTGGTTAACACGGGTAACAGTTGACGTTTACAGATCCTTTGCTGCAGGACACACACAGCGCTGAACGCCTCATGGCTACCCCGAGACGGGTGAAGTGTGAGCAGCCCCATCGCACAGAGGTGGAGACTGAGGACCAGACAGGAAGAACCGACGTGGAGTCGAAGAGCCTGTGGCGAAGCCAGGATCTGAACCCAAACCAGGCCTGTCAGATTCCATAAGCTGCTGCTTCTAATAACTACACTTTCGTAGAATGGAGCCAGAAAACTTCATGAAAAGGGCCAGATAGTACAAACTTTTTACTGTTGGGGCTACGCAGCCTCTGCTACAACTATTTCACTTTGCCACTGTAGTAGAAAGCAGCCTCAGAGAGTATATGAATGAATGGGTGTGGCTGTGTCCCCAATAAACTTTATTTCAAAAAAAGGGCAGCAGGCCCCATCTCTGTGGTTTGCCAATCCAGTTCCGTAACGTCTCAGTGGACTTTGGACCAGAGACCGGCATGGTGTCAGAACAAGTGATAACAGATCCTCAAAAACCGGAGGCACTTAAATGACAAAAACACAAACCAAATTCCAAACCTGGCTGCTGTTGGGTACTGACAGTACCGGCCTCTGTAGGGCGGTGGGCCCGATGAAAGGAGTGAGCCGCGTAAAGCTCTTGCCCAGCTAGTGGCCCGGGGGGCACTCGATTCCTGTAAGTGGCCCTGTAATCATCCATAAAGAGCGTCTCATTGAGCGCTGGCAACAAAAGGAAGCTCTGATTATTGTTATCTGTGACAGGAGGGAGCCTCTCTGCTTAGTCTCTGAGGCCCCTTCCTCGGTGAATCTTCTACAGCTCTAAAATAAAATGCTAATAGAGAAAAGCCACACTCCTCCCAGGGCCCCGCATTTGCATTTTAACATGTTCTGGGAGCTTGGCGACAAAGCCACATTCTTAATCAGGAAGCATCAGGTCACTCAGTGGGCCCTGGAGAGATGCTGCAGGAAGAGGGGGGAGAGGGAGGGAGGGGAGAGAGCAGGGAGAGAGAACAGGAGAGAGAGGGGGCAGCAAAGAGGGAGGAGGACGGTGGAGCTGCAGCTCCTCTCAAATCCCCAGGCTGCGCAGCCTCCAAGCAGAGGTGGCTGTGCAGGAGGGAAAAGCTCTCAGGAGGTAAAGCCGACTTTGGGGATTAACGACAAATGCCAACCCAGCCCCGGACAAGCAGATCATTTGTGCAAAAGGCAGAATTGTTATTTGTTAATTACTTGCCCGCCTCCGGCCATTAAGAGCCCATTTCCTGAGGGGAAGAGCTGGTCTGAGGTTCCAGGGCCCTGAGACCCAAGAAGGGAGGGAGCAGGGAGGGGACCCCAGCACCTGGAGTCATTCAAAGATTTCTGGGTGGTTGTGGTTGGAAGCCTGAGCGGGAAGCCTTGCCCCTACCCCGGACTTGCCTGGGCCCTGCTGGTCATGGGCCTGGAGATAAAGGAAGCCAGATGACCCAAACCTGGCCTCCCAAGCCTGCCTCCCCGGGGCAAGGTCAGGGAGCTGCTTCCTCTGCAACCAGGCTCTGCTGTTGCCCTGAGGCAGGGCGGGGGGTTCCGTGTTGGCTGCCCAGTGCAGTCATCTGGGAAGTTCAAAAATGTGGATGTGGGAACCCACCCCCAGGGTGCCAGACATCGCGGCTCACCACCAGGACTTTAGAAAGCTCCCAGGAGAGTCTCGTACCAGGGTTGGGAACCCACAAGCCAGGGTGACTAGAACAGGTGGCTTTACTTTATGAGCCTGTTTCTTTGCCTGTACAAATGGAGTTACGATACCAATCTTGCAGGAATGAAATACCCAGTGAGGGGCATGTGGCTGCCAAGTGCCGGAGAAGCGACCAATGGGAGCCAGCTGGCCAGGAGGGCCTTGGGGATCCGGGAGGGGGCAGTGGGGGAAGCAGATCCAAGGACTTTTGCCTCCTCCCACTGAGACCCGCCCTTCACTACTGCATTAATCCTCGGTGTGGAAACTAGAGTCATGACCATTCTGTGGATGAGAAAAGCAAGGCTTAGAGAGGGCAGGCCCCAGAACAAGCAGAGGCCAGGGGGTTCCAGGCCCGAGCGCTGACCTTGCCCTTTCTCAGCCTTCAGACGCCCTGAGCCATGCAAGCCTATCCCCTGTTCAGAATGCCCCAGGTTCCTGGGGACAGAGCACTGTTCCCTACATCAGCTCTCAACAACTCCCAGG